GGGGGGGGGACAGCGCGCCGTTGCCGGCGAGCTTACGTCGCCGCTCCCGCGTCTCGCGTCCCCATCCCTCGCCTGGCAATATCGATCGCCGTGCGGTCACATCTCGCCACGCGCTCGAATTGGACAGTGGGCAGGGCAAAAACGACGATTTTTTATAATTAATTACTCGTTAACTATTGCGAAAATTGCAAATGGTTCAGGACTTTTCTGTTCATCGATCCGTTCTACCTTCTCACGAGCTCTGGCACAAATGTTGTGACTCACCCTGTATACGTTTTATTTATATAAATGAAGAAAACAAATGTTTTACGGTTTTCTTTATCATAAAAATAAGTGAGCTATTTTAATGGAACATGTTTATTGAATGGGTATTAGAAAACATGTGACATAATAATTGACGTCACATTCGTTAAACAGTTTGAAATTAGACTTGTTTTCTATTTCTACACTGGTGAACTAGTGCAATAAATTAGAGTGAGACAAGCAAATTTTTTCTCATTCTAGCTTACTGCACTAGTTCACCAGTGCAGAAACAGAAAACAAACCTATTAACATCAAAGGGATCAATATTATATTTTTCAATTAAGATCTTTAATCACATTACTCACACACACACACACACACATACACACATACACACACATTCAAAATATTTTGATACAACTAACAATAAGATAATATTATGAGATCTATATAAAATATTATCATGAGTTTCCATAAAATTATACAATTGACAAATGTATCTTTTATAATTAAAAATATCTTCAAATGGAACATAAGAGCGTCAGAAGAGAAACCATAAAACTGAGGGTCTAAAACAAAAAATATTATTTATTGAGCTAAATGGTATGATTATTTTCGTTAATGATATATGTATGATTCCTCACCCTGGCCAAACCTTCTAAAGAGGGACAAAACAAACCAGCAGCATTAACTTTGTAAGTTTTTGTAGTTTTTCTGAGCAGGAAAAGTAGAGATTTTTGAATCTTTACCGGTGCCTTGTACCATTTTGTGTTACATCTATATTGCAAAAAAAAGATAGTTTATAAATACATCTACAGGCTATATACGTGTCTACAAATTGTATTTTTCATAAAATATATCATGCCTGCAAAAGGTAGATTAATTGTACTACGTACATCATTCGATGAACTTGATCATCATGATTTATAAATTCTTGTCCAACAAAATTACCTATAATTAAATATATAAAAAGGACGCTCACATAATAGAATAATTTAATAAGTTCTTGCTCTTCCTGTTGCATTGTTATTACTCGAAACATCTGCAAATAAAATCAATGGTGCAATAGCTACAGGTAATATTATAAAGCTAGCAATAGTAATCATATATGTATAACCAGTATTTCTACATACACGAAAGAGTGAAACAGCTGCCGTACATATAGCCATTACAACTACAAACAGGTACGATAGCCCCAAGCTTTCTTGTAATAAATCCGAAAATCTAACAGAATAACGGTTGTCTGTCATTACTCACAATCATTAATTGCAAAATGCTACGATATTCTATCTTTAAGTTTTTACTAATAATCTATTGGTATTATAGGACATTTTTGGAATTTGTGACATACTAACTGCATAGCTCTTTTATGGATGTCCACGGCAGCGACTATTTTATTACAAAATATAATAGTGCTATCACAACTTTTAGCTAATTCACGTATTTGTGAAATATTTATGCTTAACATATGTTCCATACGGTAACTATAAAATGCTGTATGTCATGAAAAAGATATATATATACTATAATATTGTATAATACAAAATTATTAAAAGAAATTACTATAAAACTATACTATATAATTGTTATATTGTTATATATTATTTTAATAAATATTAATCATGTGCATTCTTACACACATACGCACATGCATGGACACTCACGTATGCACGCACGCAAATCAAGTGTACGTTCAAAGGCTCCCATATTATTTACCTTTTATTTCCCTATTATTTACAGTTTTTCTTCTTACTATATTTTCTCAGTGTCATTTTTACACGACCAGATGTGATTATGTATAAAGTGAAAAAGTAAGCAATGTAAGAGTGAAATAAGTAAATAATAAAGAGAAGAGAATAAACACACACGTGTATACGTGATACCACATTTCGACAGTAGAGAAAATCTGAACATAACTGAAAAAAGTGAACGGATTGGTGGCATTCGTGTAAGAAAATGTAATTTATCGCCTTCGAAATATTCTCTTAAGGTCGCAATGTAACTTAAATTATTTTTGAAAAAGATAAAAGTGGACTGCACAAGAACAATGACTAACTTTTAAGAAAAGTCGTTTCTCACTTACGATGTACCTAGCAACATTAAACATTCCAAAAGCATGTAATGCGTTTACTAATGAGAATGATTCAGCAGCTATTGCAGTAGTTGCACAAAGGAACATTCCAATAACGTCATGCATAATTAGAATATAATAATATTTTTCCTGATTGTTAAAATATTTCGCCTGATGGAGAATTACACTTGGACGAGATTCATTTAAAGGTACTATGACATCAAGTAAATCCGGAAGATATTGCATTAAAGTGAAAACAAAAATTCCAAAATAGATGAATACTAAAGTGTAGAAAATTTTACTATTTTATTCAGTCACAGTGTATAATTGTTATCCTGAGTATATATTTGCAAACATTCAAATTATTTGTTATATCAAATATAATAAAATTATCAATTTTTTTAAAACAATATACGTATAGATCATACTTGAAATAAACACAATAATGCTGTTGGTAATATTTATATAAATAATATATAAATGCTGAGGAAACTTTAAAATAATGTGTAGGGGTTGTTATATTAATTTCAAAATTTAAATAAGCATAACGTGATTGAATTAACAAATTTTTATTATATTTTTATTTCTGAATAGATTATATTAGTTTATTATATAGAAAATTTGCTTAAAGGAATACCAAAAATTAGTTCTATTAATTTTAATTGGCGTTTCATATAACACATCAGAAATTGCTCATATAGTTATGTCCGATAACTCAAATTTAATCGAGTTAAAGTAATTTAAATTTCTTCAAAAACGTGTACTTGCAAAAATGTTTGCAAATTTTTTTCGACCGTTAGTATATTTGTGCATTATAAAAACTTTTACTTACTTGCGAAAATTTTTGTAAAGTTTTTTCCTCCGTTAGTATATTTGTGCATGATATCGATCTCTTGATCATTTACTAAAACACTCCAGTTATTTCGGACACGATTCCGTAATTGTTTTATCTATTAATACATGCATATGAAAACTATTGTACATAAAAATTAACTTCAGATTAAATTATTACAGAACTTACATTTTCTGTAATAAACAGAAAACTAATATGTTTGGCAAGAAACATTAGAAATATGGAATTAATAGCTAATACTTCCAGAAGAAGATCCAAGCTGCATTCCGAAAGAATTACTTTCATAAACTGTAAGCAACACTCTTTTACTGATGTGTGAATAATATTTTATAATTACCTATACATAGAACTACTAGGACATTCTGTATATCCGAAAGAAGTTATTTTAAAAAATTCACGCGCACACACAATAGTCAATTTGCGTAGTCAGTCATGAAAATTCATGCTACAACATTTACGTTTTGTTTGTACTAAACTAAAAAATCTGTACTATGAAACTCAAGTAATTTGAAAGTTATTTCAAAATCATGTTAAAACTTTCTTATAAGTATATTTATTGTATAATATACATATATAGGGATTGAAGTATTTATTCGATAAATGTGTTTAATAGTATTTAGCGTATATTTTAAATTGTTGTTTGTGTGTGAGTGTAAAATGCGTACATTATTTTAAAATAATTTTTCTGTCAAATATGCAGACGACATTCATTTTGTAACTAGCTATATTTATCGCTTAAGCAAAAAAGTATATCTTCTGTAATATAAATGTATTACAAAAGCAAAGCAGATACCTGAAGTGTTAAATATGATAAGAATATCAGTAGTGACAGTATGGTGTGAATTTGTTTGTGGCGAGAAGTATCGTATGGCCAGAGCCCAATCGATGATAATAGAATGTGATTGAGTCTATAGTATTTCTTCTCGGAGAACTCCATCTCAGATAACAGTTCAAGCGTTACTGTGGACTTATAGGCCTCATAGCCTATAGAAGTCTCTTTTCTCGTACCCCATCGTCCGTAATTTCTTTCAATTTCACACATATTATTATATTATCAATTTTTCAATGTTACAACATTCTGTAATCGTACAGACACTAAAGATTGAGACTTGATTATATATGTATGCTTATATTCGCATAGGAAGAATATAAAGTCCAAGATATAAGTGAAAATTAAAATAGTGTAACGTCTCGCGGAAGAGCAGAAGTTGTATTTTTGTTATATTACATTCTATTATAGTAATGACTAAATTGTCGCAATTTATAGCTATGTAAGGCACATATTAATGTTTGCTATTTTTCTTATAACCCATAAGTGCGCACGCGTAGTGGGAAACAGGATATTTCATATCAACAGAATGTACCAAATCGAGCACAATACATTACCTATGCACTTCAGAATTTTTCGGGCGCATCATAAAAATATACAAAACAGTAAGTGATAAATAGAACACTGCAATTCTTTAAGTAATAAAAGTAAATTTTAGACCGTGTGTTGCGTACATCATCGTGCACGATAGTCAAACATGACAATAAAAAACGAACACGATCACGTACACTTCACCACGCAGGTAGACTGGTCGGATCGCTTCAAAGATCAATCGATACTTTGAGGGAAACCGCGGTAATTGTCGAGGGGGGTCCGTTAGGGCCGTCAGTAGAGTCGCGGCGACTTCAGTCGCGCGGCGGCATAATGGATCCGCGGCGGCTTCAGTCGCGCGGCGGCATGATTCATATGAGTAGAGTCGTCTAGCGGCGACATCGATGTCGACGGCGCGGTCTGGGCGGCGCGACGCTTTGTTTCAGCGGAATCGCGGAAAACGGTAACATCCGTCGCGACCGGGGTCGGCGGACTGTTTGATTCGGATCCGACCAATGAAAATTAGGAAAACAAGGATTGACGAGTATAAAAGGGACCTCGTCCATGGGACGACGGTTCATTCGAAATCCGAGCTTTGTCGAAATCAGTCTGCACGCATCGATCCGAGCCAGTGTAGAGACCTAGACTTCGTGTGGTGAAGCGACTCAGAGTAGACGTACTCTCAAGCGTTGTCGACGTGCGTGGCGTGTTCGCCGATAACCGACTCAGGGTGTACACACCCCCAGGCGCAGTTGGTGACTAGCGACTCAGGGCACACGGGCTCCCAGGCGTAGTCGCAGAACATTGCGTTCGAGAATCGACTCAGGGCACACGGGCTCCCAGGCGTAGTCGCAGAACATTGCGTTCGAGATTCGACTCAGGGCACACGGGCTCCCAGGCGTAGTCGCAGAACATTGCGTTCGAG